TTTTAAATATATTTTAATTTTTTGTCATATTCTTTAGGGACTTAAAGTTTAACATATCAATACTTTATGAAAAATAACTGTTCCATGTTATGTCTAAAATGTTTGATATTCAGACAGATAGTGAGGTTAAGCTCAACAGCCTAGGTTATATGGTAATAACAATAAGCTTCTCTTCTGGAGGGTTAACAACCTAAGCTTGCAAATCAAAAATTAGAGAAAAAGGAGGGCCGCAAGAACAGCCAACATTTTGGCCCTAGCTTTCCAAGATCAATTAAGACTCAGGACATATGAGAACCTGTACTGTAACATCATGTAACTCAGTAGGTCCCAAATTTTCTGATCAAGGAGATTATGGGGCCAAAGAGGAAAGTGATCGATGATGTAGAGTGTACCTAAAGAGAGTCACATGGAGAGCAAACATTCTCTCAGGCTTTCACAGAGAGCACATTGGCTAAGCAATGGCCGTGACTCATCCACATGGCTGACACGGACAAAGGATCTACAATCTGAGGTACAGGGTCTCAGGATAAATTCTGAGGGGATTTCACTGACTTTATGAGATCCAAAAGATACAATTCTTGTTACATAGGTCTTGCTTCATCTTGATATTAACCATCCAGCAGAAAAGTATAAAAACGAAGTACAAGAAATAAAACCATGTTGTTATGTTGAGCTGTAGGGGACTCAGGTCAACAAATCTGACACTGCCAGTCAAGTGGAAGACCCAGTACTATTATAGACTACTGGACTATTTTGGAACATTTTGCTGAGTTCACACGCCTATAATATTTAAATGATGGAACTAAAAAAAAAGGGGGGGGGATAAAAATGAATGACCATTTTGTATCTGTGTATTCAAGATGATTAGGATAGATATATAGCTACATTCTCTTAATTCAAGGAATACAGGGATTTGTTCTAATAGTGTTTGTAAATAGGATATCATGTCTGTATCTTGTACAACCAATACCCACTAGGAAGGCAGTATGCAATGTGTTAATTATTGTAACTGTCCTACCAATTTGATTTGAATCTGTCTCATTGCTATTTATTCCTCAATAAAATTATGGGAAAAAAATAAAAATATATATGGCAGGCATACATAAAATTATAAAATAATGAGACTAAAAACACAACTTAGATTCAAGGATTCAGAATGTGTAACTAGCCATTAAAATAAAAAAGTGGTATGTCGAGTTTTAAAGTTTAGACTTGAGTAGTTATACACTAAGACAAACAATATCTAGTTATCACCATTTAATTAGATAGGTGATTAATTTAACAGCTGAAAACTATGTGTCCTTATCAGCTGTAAATACCTGGAATGTTTGAAATATAATAGCACATTTTTTGTTTCTCTTAGAAGCTGACTAGTAAAATAGTTACCTTGACAACTAATAAAGACTTTTTATAAATATATATTCACAACATATAATGATAAATCAAGTTAACACTACCACACTGATTTGAAAAATGTAGTATATAGAGAGGTTGCATGCTCACTTTTGCACAAAATACAGGTTAGTTTTTTAAGGCATTCCTTTACAACATACAGATATGAATCAAAATAGTGAGTTGGCTCAGCAGATTAAAGCACCTGCTTAGGCAGACTCAGGGACCAGGGTTCAATCTCCACCTGCCGTGCCAGCCCTGACCCAGTGATTGAGACTGGGCATGGTGGAACATGCCTGTAGTCCCAGTGTTTAGGAGGCTGAAAACAGGAGGATCACTATGAGTCAGATCTGTGTAGTGAGACACCTGTAGACCTCGTACTACATACATAAAAATAAATAAAATAAAATACAATATAAAACAATATAAAATAGTGAGATAGAAATTTCAAAAGGGAGTTTGGTTGAGAAAGCCATTTTACTTATCAGGAACTAACTCACTAACTATAAAAACTGTATTTACTTGAAAGCGTGGGAAAGCTGTCCTCTTGATCTGACTGATAGATGCCATCTGAATGCTGAGCAGCTGCCAAATCTGCAGACTGTAAATCTCTAAAAGTGAAATAATACAATTTCAATTCGCTCAAAACTTAGTACAGTAAGTACCCAAAATACTCAGTAGTAGTGCACTGAAATTGCTTATAAAATTATGCACATTCTTTAGTATGTTGTCTATAGCTTTTATCAGATTACAACAGGGTTCCAAGGTCATACAAGCAGAACAAAGAAGCAATAAAAGACTGTAAATAAGAATAAGCTATGACTTTAATGGATGAAATTCTGAGTCAGAAAAATCTCATTGTAGATAAAAGAAATGACATACTAAGTATTGAAATGTAAGAAATTAATACAAGGAAGTTTTTTAGTTATTTCCTTTCAATTTGTGGAAGAGTATGTATTTTACCTGAAGCTATCTACATCTATAAATATATACAGTATATGATACATACTTTATATTTTAATTTTATAGAATATTGGTGAGAATGTTTCTGTACCCAGTACCTAACAGAAATTCAATTATCTCAAGAAAAAAATTTAAATATATGGCAACATTTTTGTTTTTTGAGACAGGTCTAACTATGTAGTTCAGGTTGGCCTTGAATTTGTAGTGATCCCCTGTCTCAGTCAGCTGACTACTGAGATTAGATATGTGGGCCACCATGCCTGGCTCAAGAGTGAAGATATTTAACTTTCAAAAAACCTGAGTTTAAAACATTTTATAAATTGCAAAGAAAACGATATCTTAAAATACTGTCATTAATCTATTTAATCAGAGACACTTCAAAAATACTTTTTTAAATTCATGGTAGTATTAAGCATGTTTTAAAATTCAAGGTAGGACTCAGGTTCTCCAAACTTTGACTAAAATCTAATTATCACTGTGTGGTGTTACACATAATGTAACAAATGACAAAAGAACATGAGTGTAAAAAGATTTTAAGTGTTGAAAAACTTAGGGTGCAACCCTTGCTCTACTGCTAATTAATAACTTGAGCTTACAATAATCTGATTTGTTTCAGTAGGCCTTTCTATTAAAAAATAATAGAGAATGGCATGGAAAGTTACGGAAATCAAACAAGAAACTCATCAGAGATGTTCAGAAATAATATTATATTGTAAATTAGATTAGTGAATACTTTATGTGGAAACAGGCATAAAAAACGCTTACTTCTTCAGCTGATCCACATCAGAATTATTTTCTGGTAAGACTGTGATTCCCCGCCCATAGCTGGTGCCTCCATGGAGATGAAACTCTAGACTTAATGTTGCCTGGCTTTCAGAAGACACTGACTGTAGTTTGGTATGGAGGCTGTAGATCCGAAGAAAGCTTCCAATCTGAAGAGACATTTATGTAGGTATGTATTTAGTACAGGGTCTAAAGGGTCTCACTACGTAGATTGGACTTGAAGTGATTCTCCTGTTTTCAGCCTCCCAAGTGCTGGGATTACAGGCATGCACCACCACGCCCAGGCTCAATTGCCCTCTCAGCACAACCCGGGGCGGGACCAGCACAGCACACCAGGGACTGACTCCGGAGGCTGTGCTCTGCCTAAGCAGGTGCTTTAGTCCACTGAGCTATCTGGCTGGCCCTTTCATTATTTAGAATAATGGATAAAAATATAGAATTCTGATATTTGAAATTTTACCAATATGAGGCAATGGCCAACTAGGGACACAACCAGAAAAAGACATAGGTAACAGCAGTGCGACTGAACATCAACTGCAATGATTCTATATCAAAATATAGAGATGTGTGCACATGGACACATCTATACACAGATGCATACACACTGTGAAATGTCCCATTTCAGACATATTAAAATATGCAAAAAAACCCTGTCATAGCATCAATTAAATGTAGTAGTTGAGAAGACTAATCATCTAAGTGAAATCTAAGAATAACTTCTTATAAAGTAGGGCTAATTAAATATGCTCCGTAAAATGCTCTAATTATACAAAGTACAAAAAATTAAATGTACAACTTATCAAAATTAAAGTATCTATCTCACAAGTTTATGGAAGGAAAACTTGTATTAAAGCATCTGTAAGGTAGTACCACACCTGTAATCCAGGCAGTAAGAGGGGCTGAGACAAGAGGCTCATGAATCCAAGTCTACCTGGACACTCAGCAAGAGTATGGCTCAAAATAAAATATGAAAAAGTAGCCATAAGGAAGGATAAACTTGAGTCATTTGTAGGAAAATAGGTATATCTCAAGATCATAATGTTAAGTAAAATAAATCAGACACAGAGGCTTGAATATTGCATGGTTTCTCTTACATGAGAAACTCAGAATAAAAGCGGAAAATAAAAGACTAAGAATAGGAAACAAGGAGACAGGCCTTTTGAGAAAGGGACAGAAATCAAGATATGTAGGGGAGGGAAAGAGAAGAGGAAAGTGAAATGAAAATTAATTAAGATGTGTTGTATACATGAACCGACTACCTACTGGAATGGAATCAATATGAACTGTAAACATGTAATAATACAAAAAAAATGTGAAAAAAACTGGACTAGAGCTTTAGCTCAGTGATGTCCAGTACCACAAACAAACAAAGCTTATTCTAAATTCAAACATAGAACTAAACTAGGGTTTTGAATGGAAGTTTTTATTTTTACAAGACTAGGATTGAATCTAGTAGAGCTCTACATGAAGCTACAAGTCTTTCTTATATTGTACTGTACTGTAGTGTACAGTATTGTATACTGTTATAAGAAAGGGTTTTGCCAAGTTGTTCAGGCAGGAATGAAACTTGGAGTCTCCTTTCTCAGCCTCCTTCAGTGCTGAGATTACAGGTGTGAACCACTATACCTGGTCTGAAGTTAATATTCTATAATTAATCTGAAATGTTTTGCTAAACTTTCTAAAACCATCCTAATTATAAAGAATTTAAATCTATAAAGGACTTGAACCAAGTCTTAAATATTCTTACAATGAAGATTTCAAATGAGAGACATAGGGCCAGCCAGATAGCTCAGAGGACTAAACTGCCTGCTTAGGCAGAATGCAGTGGCCAGGATTCGATCCCTGGCGTGCCCTGCTGGCCCTGCCCCCCAGGGTGCACTGAGCCTGTGATTTGGGTTGGGCACAGTGGCAAGCGCCTGTAATCTCAGTGCTTGGGAAGCTGAAAACAGGAGAATCACTATGAATTCAATTTATGTAGTGAGACCCTGTAGACCCTGTGGACCCTATATTAAATACATTAAAAAAAAAAGAAAAATATATATATA